CACTGAGGGGCTGCCAGAGCCCTGAACCTCTAGGACAGGGTGGCTGGCTCCATGTCTGTGTGGTTCTTCCATCTTCCAAAGGGACAGAAGCTTGGGTCAGGGAGACATGGGCAGTAGATGGGATGAGGCCTGGTTTCTGCTGCTTCCTCCCAGAAGTCTAAGGTTCTACGTGGTTTCCACACCTGGAAAACAGGTTCCAAGGAGGAATCGCTGCTGGAGATTGGTGTCAGGAACTTACTTTCCCTCTGGGCTTCGTCCTCGGTGATTTACAGGAATTATTTGGACATAAGAGTTAATGGAAGTAGGTTGCCAGTGTGCGGGCAAATTCATCACTGTCTCCTTGCATTCCAGGAGCGGATCTGTCTTTCAGGGTAATATATCCTGGAGACACTTTCCAAGACCTGAAAAATATAGGCTACCTTGGGAGGACAGGGCCGGGCAGCCAGGGCAGGGATTTCATAAACTTGAGGGGTGATTATAGACTGCAATGTAGCTGCAGGAATTGTCTGGGAGGGTTTTTCCCTTTGTTTCTTTAATCATGGGGCAGAAGCGGTGTGTGGTGGGGGGGGAGGGGGGGCAGAGGGTATCAGCTTCAGTGGGGCCTAAGCTTAAGGCTTCCCTTTCCCCAACCACCGATCCAGCTCCTGCTCTGTAAAACAGGCTTGTTCCCTGTGCCCACTGTTTAGTGTGGGAAGGTGGCAGCGGGGGTGGGGTGAGGGTGGGGGCCTTTTGCGGGTGCGTTGCTCTGAGGGGGGGTCTTCTACTTTGACTCCATTGCCTGCATCCTGTTTCAGCACTCATTTTGCATATGGGGGTGGAACTCACTGAGTCCAGTGAGAGCTGCCCCCTCCAACTTCACATTTGCCGGGCCGGCTCCACGGACTGAGTGGTGTGTGTGTGCAGATGTCCAGGCTCCACGGACTGAGTGGTGTGTGTGTGCCGATATCCAGGCTCCACGGACTGAGTGGTGTGTGTGTGCGCGTGTGCGTGAGTGCAGATGTCCAGGCCTACGTGTAGTGTGAACACACACAGCAGCTGTAAAGTCCTAAGTGGGAGATGACCAGTGATGATGCTGAAGCCTGTCCTGACCTCTCCCGCCAGCCAGAGCGCCGCTCTTAGACATTCACTTGGGGTTTATGGCTCTGTTCCTGATCTTCATCTAACCAGCTTCTCACCATCTATCTCCTCTTTCCCCCTCCCTTCCCGATCCTGGAAACGGAGCAGGTTGGAGGGAAGCACCTCCCTCCCGGCTGCTGTTATTTACGATGTACAAAATGAATTTAAATCAGAAGGAAGAAAGAGCTAGGAATGGGGGTGAGGGGTGGATGTCCTGAAGAGAACGCGGCCCTGGAGAATCCTGTAAACTCATGGAATCTAAGAACCAGAGAACGAGGGACTCGTGGCTCTCTCCTGGGCTTAAAGACAGGAGCTGGAGGCCTTTCTGGAAATAGCTATTGCCTGCCAGTGAGAAATGTGGACCTGTCCCGCTGGCCCCTGGGGAGTTGCTGGGAACATTAAAATGTCCCTTCCTGGACTCCTCACAGCCCATAGTCAGAGCCCAGAGGTGACCGAGTGTCTCAGCTTCTGCTCTCTTGGGCTCAGAAAAGGACCATACTTTTTTCTTCTGAAGCTGGTGACATCTGTCTTCAGAGCTCTTTGCCTATGTCTAGAGGCCACACTTCAGGGCCTGGGGTGTGACAGCCTGGGTGTTAGCCTCCTGTGGGGTCCGTCTACCTCCTAGGGAAGTCCGGTTCTAGTTCTGGAGGTGTTTGGAGGGCTCTGGAGCCAGGGTCTTGTTGGCGGCAGGGCCTCCTGCAGTGGCAGGATGTGGGCACCGCAGCTGGAACCCTTCCTTCTAGCTGCTGTCAGGGACGCCGAACAGCAGGGGGCGCTCCTGAGTCACCCCAGAGGAGTCCGGCCGTCTCGGCTCAGCCTTGGCTGGGGAAATCTTGCCGGTCAGGATGAAGGTGAGCTGGGCAGACTATCCAAGCTCTGTCTTCTTCTGGCAGACCGAGACGGGAACTTGAGTGGGAACTGCCTCCGACTTGTGTGGGGCCCCGTGGGTTTCAGGAAGTGCCCTCTGTGCCTCTGGGAGAACAGCTTGTGAGGCAGGTCTCTGTGGGGATGTCACGGCCAAAGCCGGCTCCCGCCTCGCTTGGGGCCATGGAACTTGAGGCCCTTTGCCAAAAGCAAACCTCAGGCCTTCTCAGGGAAGTGGAATATCTCCGTTTTCTTCAGAAATATCTCCAGGTTAATCCGTGTTGCTGTTGTCCATGCCCTGCCCACTGGACTCTTCGTCATGGGGAGTGGGGACGGGAACCTTCTCTCCCGGATCTGACACAGTCCCAGACCTTCCTCGAATTTACTGGAGTCAGAGAGGATTGGACCGAGGCTGAGGCTGCTAAGCAGGTCTAAGGGTGTGGCACATTCCTGACCCGGCACCCGCCCTTACAACGGCCAGCAGCTGCTGTGGAAAGGAAGTCCAGAGGGGGAGGCTTCCCAACAACCCCTTGGTGCCACACCCAGAATGTTTTCCAGTTGTCTTTCTCAGGTTTTCTCCTCCCCCTCTCCTCCTCCCCCCCCCCACAAAAAACAAAAAAAAACCCACAACAAGTGACTTGTAAATTCCCCCTTCCCAATACCACCTGTGTGGTGTTGATTTATGAGTCTAGCCAGGGTAAGATGTCTGTGTCAGGTTACACAACCTAAAAGAAAAGCCAGGCCTTTTGGCTTTTAGCACCTCCAGGGTCTCTTTGTGGATAGGACTGGGGTTGGGGAGCCCAGGCACAGTACTGGGAAGAACAGAACCTCTGGGCTGGAGCAGGCAGAGTTGAAGGTCAGAGTTGTGTGTTTGTTACGGGGGATTGGTTCATGTCCTGATCTGTCGCCCTCCATCCAAAGCAACGCAGGTGTTCTCCCTCGAGTTTGGCTTCCCTGGAAATCAAAGGCCTTGGAGCCTCCCGCCGAGCCACAGGCTTGCCTAGGGGGAGGGGAGCCTCCACTTTCTTCAGACGCCCTGGTTTCTGTGTGTTCAAGCCGCTAGCGTTGGTTACCCAGCCCCACCGAGGCACTAACTGCAGGGTGGTAGGGGTGAGGATTAGCCCTCTCTGGAGGAAAATCTGAAGAGCAGTAAATCCCATAAGCCCCTAGGCCTGAAGCCTTTGCCCTGTGTCTCCCAGGTCTTTCGGTCAGGGCATTTCACCCGAATCCCCCCCTCAATCTCCCCCCCTGCACTTTGACCCCTCCTTTAGCACGAGGCACACACCAAAACCCTGCGATGCTCACTTACGCCATTGGTCATAATGCCAGACTAGAGGAAGACGGCAAGGGAATGGACAAAGTCCCTGTCCCGTCCCTGTGTCATGTCCTGTCATGTCCCCCACCTCCCCACAGGGTTTCTCTGTGTGGCCCTGGCTGTCCTGGAACTAGCTTTGTAGACCAGGCTGGCCTCAAACTCAGAGATGGACCTGCCTTTGCTTCCAAGTGCAGAGATTAAAGACATGCGCCACCGTACCCGGCATCTATCACTTCTTTTTGATTGTAGATTTGAAACACGCAGCTGTAGGAAGGACCAAGGATGGGGAAGGCTGCATTGGTTCCAATACCCAAGATCAGTCAATCTCAAAAGTCAGGAGTGTAAACTGGGCAGTGTTGGCGCACGCCTTTAATCCCAGCACTTGGGAGGCAGAGGCAGGCAGATCTCTGTGAGTTTTAGGACAGCCAGGGCTACACAGAGAAACCCTGTCTCAAAAAAACCAAATTAAAAAAAAAAAAAGTCAGAGTGTGAGCTGGGTGGGTGGTGGCGCATGTTCAGACAAGAGGGCCAGAAATTCAAAGCTACCCTCAGTATATAGTGAGTTCAAGGTCTGGGTTGTATGAGATTGTTCAGTAAATGAAAAACAAAACAAACCAGTGTGACTGGGCCTGGAGGAGTGTTGGTATTTTTAGGGAGAAATACGCCGAAGTTTGGGGAGCAGCCTGTCCTGCTCATTGATGTCTTAAAACAGGGCCTAGAAAAACCAGGGAGTTGAAGGTCAACTTGGGCTACATAATGAGACTCTGTCTCAAAGAACCAAACCAAAAATACCAAACCCTCAAACAAAAAGAGGGGATCAATGAACTTTGTCCATCCCTGTAGCCCCTTCCCTAGCCTGAAGTTCGGACCCTGTCTTATAGAGACAAAACTTTTTCCATCTTAAATGGCCATTTATTCCTTTTCTAGACTGAGGTCAGCCTGCTGGGAAGCCTCAGGCTCTGGAGGAGGAAGTGATAGAGGGCAGAGACAAAGGCTCACATCTGGTCTGGAAGTGAGTTGAAGTTCACGAGTACTACCTCACTACTACTTCGTCTTAGCTCCAGGAACTGGTCAGTCTCTGTCTCTCTGGTGTGTGTGCGTGTGCGTGTGCGTGTGTGTGTGTGTGTGTGTGTGTGTGTGTGTGTGTTTTAGGAATCAAAATCAGTGTCTTATACACTCTACCCCTGGGCTGTACCTCAGCCCCCCAAGTCTCCCTTATTGCTTAGGTACTAGGAATTTGGGGTTGGTGATGACCCTTTAGCATGTAATCTATTTGGTTCTGTTCTGTTTGCTTTTAAATGGGGTCTCACATAGCCCAGGCTGGTCTGGAACTTATGTAACTGAAGATGACCTCAAACTCCTGGTCCTTCTGTCTTGCCTCCTCAGTACTGGAATTACAAACATGAGCCCTCATGTACAGCTTTTTGTTTTCTTTTGAGATGGTGTGGTGGTTTGAATAAGAATGGCCCCCATAGGCTCATATATGTGAATATTTGGTCCCTAGGTGGTGGAACTGCTTGGGAAGAATTAGGAGGTGTGGCCTTGTTGGAAGAGATGTGTCACTGGGGGTGAGTTTTGAGGTTTCAAAAGCCCAATCCATGTCCAGTTAGCTCTCTCTGCCTGTGCTTCTGGATCAACTCTCAGCTACCTCACTCCCCCACTCTCCACCCCCCTCACCCCCGCATGATCCCCACCGTGATGAGCATGAACTTCTGAAACTGTAAGCCCCAAATAAACTGTCTGCTGAGTTGCCTTGGTCCTGGTGTCTCTTTGCGGCAACAGAAGAGTCATTAAGACAGAAAGGCTCTTACTATGTAACTGAGGCTAGCCTTGGCTTCTCAACTGTCCCATCTCCCTCCTCAGTGCTAGGATTACAGGTGTGCACCAACATCCGTTGCAGGGAGTGAAGAGAACGCAGAGCTGGCTGCCTCCACTGAGGCTAAGGTACGGGTGCAAACACGATTCTTCAAGGAATCCGCAAGCCACAATTGAGTCAGTTCTAACCACGATTCTAATTTTCCAGATAAATAAGCCAAGTGCACAGTGCTAATAATAATCAAAATGGGGACCCATTGGTAGCCTGATAACCTGAGTTTAATCCCTGGGACCCACGTGATGGAAAGAGAAAAGCAGCGCCTGCAAGCTGTCTTCTGACTTCCCCGTGTTAGCTGTGACATGTGCGCGCGCGCGCGCACACACACACACACACACACACACACACTAAATGTAATTTAGAAAATAGAAATAATGATCAAGTTTGTGCAGCTTAAGGAAAAACTTCAGTGTTGTGCCTTATGCAAACATATTTATAGGATTGTTAAATCCTGGGACTCATCACGTTATCCCCATTTCCACCTAAGAAAACAGAGTCCGAGAAAGTAAGTGAGCCAAGAGCCAGGCTACATCCACCACACAGACAAGCCACGATCTCTCCCTTCCCAGTACTGCCTCCCACAGGCGAGGCGTGGAGAGCCTTAGCGGAAGTACCGGTGGTCCATGCTGGGCCGGGAACTCAGTGTCTGCAGGTCTTCCCCTGTTTTCCCCAAACCACCCCCAGGGAGGGAAGCTTCGTGGCTGTCATGGCACCCGCCTGTGAAACAAGCCTCCAGCCTGAGCCCAGAGCCTCAAACCAGCTGAGAACGGAGAGGGGAGCTGCTCACTCAGCCCGCAGCCTGCAGTCTCCTTGTTTACCCCCAGACACACACCCCAACCCTGGCATCCTGTCTGCGGCTCCTGTCAGTCTCTGCTCTCTCCCAGAATCGCTGCGAATCTTGCAGGGCTGCGGTTGCCTTGGTAACTGGATGGGAGGCTCTTGAGGTTTTGTAGAACCAGAGAGGGATGTGGGGGGCGGGCAGGAGGGAGGGAGGAAGGGAGGGAGGGAGAAGCAGGCTCTGTTGGGCTGCCGGTCACAAAAGGGAAGGAACAGTTCTAGCTCTCACTGCCTCTGTCAGCCAGCCAGTCCTTCCCTGGGTTTGGCCTTGGTGCCTTCTGGTGGGGGGTGGGGGTGGGGGTGGGGGCTCTTTAAAGTGGAACCCGTGAGGTAGAGAACCGTGAGGGAGCTGCTCTGTCCTTGGAGTGGACTCCCATTGTCACCCAGAGCTGCCGACTCCTGCTTGCTCCCGAGTGCCCTGGCCCTGAAGTCTTAATTGGTTTTATGAAGTTCAATGCCTGTATTTTATAAGATAGATAATTATGGTGAGGGGAGGTCAGGCCCTCCTCGGCTAGACTTGGCAGGGCCTCCAGAACTGCTGACTTTCCAATCAGCACCAAACAGACTGATGGGACTAGGGTGGGAAGGGGCACCCAGGCCGGTGATACTCACGGTGGGAGGAGGCCCGTGTCTACCTTCCAGTCCCTGTGGTGGTCAGCGGGGAGAAGGTCCACCACCTTCCTCTCCAATTCCCGTTCTGGACTCTCTTGAAGGACCATACTGTGAGGCAAGCACCTAGGGGGGTACAGGGAGAAGAGGCAGGGGGGGGGGGGAAGGTGTGGTTCTGTGGCTGTCTTTCTAGGGCCCAGAGCAGCTTTCTTAGGCTTCCTAGAGGAATCCTATAAGATGCAGGCCCCCACACACACACTTCCACAGGACGGACCCAGCTAGCTGCCTGCCTGGGTGCTGTTCCACTGACTCCCTCAAGCTGGCAGAGGCAAGGTCTGAGGAAGGTGGGGATAGACAGGGAAGGAAAGACAAGGCACTTGGCTGGCTTAGGGAGGAGAGCTTCCCACTGATGCTCACCGACAGGAAGAGGGGGCAGGGCAGAGGGTTCCATGTCCTTCCTCGGGCCATCGGCTGCCATCCAGGATTGTGATTCTCAGAGACAATGAAGGGTTGGCTCCTGGTCCCTGGGCCAGCCTGCGTCCCCTGCTCCTCTGGGGAGGAATTTTGACAATGGCACTGGCTGTAGTAGTTACCCCCCCCCCCACGCGTGCCTCCTCCTTCAAAAAAGGGCAAAAGTGTCCGATCCGTTTGTGACAGGTACAAACCTATATTTTCAGGTTGAGCCCAGTTGCTAAGTACAGCTGGCTAAGGGACTGAGGGCCCAAAAGGCCTTTTCCTCTTTAACAAATTACCAAGCTCTGTCCTCCCCCTGCTTTCTGGCCATGAGTGTCTTACTCTCTAGAGAAAGTCCAATCTTCGGGAAAGAAGAGAGGAACGAGAGCCACCCAGGTCAGAAGCCTGGACACCACCCCGCCATGCCCCTATCAATCCCTTTTCCCTCTACCCCTCTTCTCTTCCTCCCCCTTTTAATTAGCTAATGTCTATAAAGGACCAGGTGCTATAAAAGCCCTCTACAAATGTTGAACACAATTTCATTTCCAAGACTAGCAAAGAATGTATTTGCCAACTTGAGTGAAAGGTCACTAGGCCTGCCTGGGACAGAGGCGGACTCCCCTGTCTGCAGGGTCCAGAGGAAAGGCATTCTGGGGCGCGAGGCAGGGAAAGGGGAAGCCCTGAAGGGACACAGCACCAGTCATCTGCCCTCCTTGGACCTCAAGCTGGACACCATGCCAGCCTCCTGCCTGTAGTAGTTGCTTTTCTAATTACTATGTGACAAAAGCAACCTAAGAGAAAAAAAAAAAGGGATTTATTTTGATTCACCAATTAAGGAGCCATGGTTCGTTGTGAGTGGGAAGGCATGACGGTTGTCACAGGGATTGCTGGTCACGTGGCATCCACAATCAGGAAGCAGAGAGAGATGAATGCTGGACTTAGTTCACTTCCTCCTTTTATTCAGTCCAGGACCCCAGCACATGGAAATGTGACACCCACATTCAGCATGGGGCTCCCCTCACTTAAACCTCTTGGGAAATGTACGCATAGACATTCCTGGAGGTGTGTCTCCTAGGTGACTCCAAATCCAGTCCCGTCAACAATGAGGATTAGCCTTCACAGCCCCACCCTAACACACACCTGACTTCCAGAGCTCCAGAAGATGAGCATCCTCGGAGGTTCTTCACCAGGGAGTACGCTGACATTCACAGTTAACATTGACTAAACATTGACTGGCTAGCAGCCTGTGCTAAGGGCTAAAGCTCTCCAGCTTGGGGACTGGCGGCTATCTCTGCAGTGGGGAGTAGAAACTTGTCCTCTGCACAAAGGACCTTGAAGCCTTGGGCAGAATGTTATCACTAATCATCCTGGACCAGTGTCAAGGGTTTCTGTTTTATGCCCTCCCGAGAACTTTCAGTATGGACATTGCCTAAGCTTCTGAACTCTACTGTCCTTTCCCTGGCCGAAATCCATTAGGAAAGAGCAGGAGATCATGTAGGTCCAGTTTGGGGGCGGCAGCTCTTCAGGACAATAATTGCTTAGCAGATAAGAGGTGCCAGGGCTGGGGAGATGCTCAGTGGTAAAGTGAGTGCTGTGTGACCATGAAGACATGAGTCCAGATCCCAGCACCCACGTAAAAGCTGGGCACAGTGGTACATGTCTGTAACCCCAGTACTAGGGAGACAGATACAGATGGATCTCTGGGGTTAGCTGGCCAGCTAGTCTAGTTAAAACAGGTATCTCCAGGTTCAGTGAGAAAACTTGACTCAAAAACAGATATAGATAGATAGATAGATAGATAGATAGATAGATAGATAGATAGATAGATACATACATACATACATACATACATGCATACATACCTACGTAAACACATACATACATACCTACGTACACAATACATACATACATACATACATACATACATACATAGTAAGATATGGTGGAGCATGCCTTTAGTCCAGCACATAGTGAGTTCCAGACCAGCCAGGGCTACATAGTGAGATCTTTTCTCAAACAAAACAAAACTAAAAAAGGTGAGAAGCAATAGAGAAAGACTCCTAACATCCCTCTCTGGCCATAACACGCACATGCATGAGTGAGCATGCCTATATATACAGGCACATTTGCATATACACTGCACACACGCACACACTATACAAAAAATTAAAGAAGCAGCCCTGGTTTTTATCCCCAGCACTAATGAAGAAAGAGAGAGAGAAAGGAAAAAGAAAAAACAATATTGAGACCAATTAACCTTGACAAGTTCCATGTCCAAGGGGCAGCTTTCCAGCTCCTGGTGCCCCGAGGCCTGTGCCAGTCACGGTGAGTCTCGGCCTCCTGAGAATTCTATTAGCTAGTACTCAGGAATGCCCTCCCTCATCTCTGCACAGAAACTGGCTTTGGTTCAGCTCCAAGGTGAAGGGGACTGGGAGATTAGAATAGGAGTCTTGACCTTTACAGCTCCTAAGGTGTGTGTGTGTGTGTGTGTGTGTGTGTGTGTGTGTGTGTGTGTGCACGCGAGTGCACATGTATCCATCCAGACAGCAAAAGAGAGTGCCAAGCAGGGATTGTAGGTTCATGAAGAAGCAGGGAGATGAGATGGATAATGTGTTTCCACATCTCCTGGGCCTCCTTTGTCTACACCCGCTTAGCCCTCTAAAAGCTGAACAGAACCGGAAAGGTATCTGGGAGACTCGGCTCTTGCGACTCCAAGGCCCTCCCGCCCCCACTGTGTTCCTAAATCCTCCTTTCCGGCTGGTCTTCAGGGTCCAGGTGTCTCACCCTGTCATCCGTTGATTATCATTCTGAAAAGTTATCTGTCCTTGAAGAAGCTGAGGCCGGTCCCCCACCGTTGGAGGGGAGTGCTAATGGTCAGCAACATGGGGGGGTCACAGGCACCCAAACAGCACAATGGTACTGGTTCCCAAGAGCGTCTCAATGGACAAGACCCACTAGCACGCAGACCCACACCTTTATACAGGGCCACACGGGGCTTTTCATGTCACCCAAACTGCCGTGCCATGGCAGGCACACAGATGCCACAGTCCCCATAGGGTCCAAGACCACAGCTCCAGCAGCCTCAGCATCTCACACAGGCAGGGACCAGGCTGCCCGGGCTCTGGGGGTGCAGGGGGGTGGGGGGGGGCAGGACAAAAGTGGAATATGGAGCACAAGGTCAGAGATCTCCGAGTTCCATTAGCCAGAAGCGTGCCATGAATAAAAAAGCTTGGGGACAAGGGCACTGCTGAGCTCGTTCCCGACAAACGTGTCCTCACTTCCCACCCCGTCTCCCCCCAGCCAGGAAGCTTCTCGCTGTCAGCAAAGCCATTTAGGGATTAGAGCAGCCCTCTCCCTCCCTCCTGCTGCTTATTCAAAAGGTGCTTTCAGTTCAGGAGCCTCCTTTTCTTCGTGGAGATTGTAATGCACGGAGGAGTTCCCCCTCGGTACCCACCTGGAGTGCCTGGTCCACACAAGGTAGCCATTTGGGCTGGCCTCGGCTTTCTGGCAACACCAGCCAGTGATTGTCCTTCTCCAAGAAGGCAGCTCCAGACAGCCAGGAGAGGCCATGGGTGAAGTTTTCCCTAAGAACAAGAAATGGTTCTGAGCTGTGGAGACCCTCGCAGTTCCCCCAGCAGGTGGGGTGGTGGCGGCCTCTAAGACTCTCGGCAGGTACCCTACATGCATTTAGTTGGTTCATCGTATTTATTAACACTCAGAGGCTAAGTACTAAGAGGACAATATTCAGCTCGCTGGTGGTGGTGGTGGTGGCGGTGGTGGCGGCGGCGGCGGCGGCGGCAGCAGCAGCAGCAGCATACACCTTTAATCCCAGCACTCAGGAGGCAGAGGCAGGTGGATCTTTGTGAGTTTGAGGCCAGCCTGGTCTACAGAGTGAGTTCCAGGACAGCCAGGGCTGTTACACAGTTCTAAGACAGCCAGGACTACACAAAGAAATCCTGTCTTGAAAAAAAAAAAAAAAAAAAAAACCCAACATTGAATAAAATAACATGCTCATCTCTGCCATCATGAAGACGCCAAGTCTAAGGATGAGAACCTGGAGAAAACCAGATAATAATTCAAAATTTTAACAAGAGCTATAAAGAGAACAGACAGGCTACTAAGATAGAAAGCAAGAAATAGATCAGGGCTTCAGATGGAGTAATCAGAGAAGTATAGTGCTATATACTTAGGCATCAAAGCACAGGCAGGAGCCAGGTAAAATCATTTCAGGCAAAAGCCCCAGGGCAGGGATAGTGGAGGACAGGCAGCCGGGTGGCTAATGAGGTGATGGGGGGAGGGGGCAGAGGATGAGGTGGCAAAGGATCGATGTGGTTAAATCTGTTACTCTAGGAGAGGAAGGAGCTTACAAGGCTTAATTGGGAGTGGGGAAGGCTTGTCAGCAGGACTCTTCAGAGGGTCCAGGTGGGTCCAGGGAGGTCACCAAGGAGGCAGCTGTAGTCACACCAGTGAACAGGAGACAGGAAGAGGAGAAGGAAACATCTAATCCCTAAAAAAATGATGTTCTCAAGATACTTGTTAGGTATGAATCAAATCCTTGTCTTGAGGTTGAAAAGATGGCTCAGTGGTTAAGAGCACTATTTGCTCTTTCAGAGGACCCTGGTTCGATTCCCAGCGCCCACACAATGGCTTAAAAATGTATGTCTGTAAGTCCATTCCCAGGGGATCCCTGTGGTGCATGCAGATATACATGCAGATCAAACACCCACACACATAAAATAGATATACAAATAAAATAAAAAAAATCCTTGTTTGCTGGGTGTGGTAGTGCATGCCCATAACTCAGGGGGCAGAGGCAGGTGGATTTCTATGAGTTCAAAGCCAGTCTATATAGAATCCTTGTCTTAAGGTGGGTAATGTGACTCAGTGGGTAGAGCACTTACCTAGTATGCACAAAGCTCCAGATTTAATCCCCAGTACTAAATACACTGGGCCGTGACAAATGCCTGTATTCCTAGTAGTCAGGGAGTACAGAGTTTGAGGCCAGCCTGGGCTACATGAGACCCTATTTAAAAACAAAACTAGGGGGCTGGAGACATGGCTCAGTGGTTAAGAGCACTGGTTGATCTTGCAGAGGACCCGGGTTTGATTCCCAGCACCTACATGGCAGCTCACAATCATCTGTCACTCCAGTTCTAGGCAATCTGATACTTCTTCTGATCTTCAAGGGCACCAGAAACATATATAGTACAAATAAATACATACACATACAGGCAAACCACTCATACACATAAAATAAATAAACCTAATTAAAACAAGACAAAACAGAAAGAATCTCCATCTAAATTTGCCCTTTTCTCCCCTCCAAGGTCCACCACGTCCTTCTCCACTCCAGATCAGAGGAGGCCCAGGGCTGGTACTTCTCATTTCTAAATAAACCCACGGAAAGGGCACTGTGTTTTGGAGATTCCCCAGGAAGCTGTCACCCTTCTGGCAGGGATGAGAAGAGGTTGCCATTTGGGGGAGGGGTCATGTCCAATGCCTTTCTGCCCTACTGGTCTGGAGTATAGCCACAGTGCCACATATTGGGTAGACTGAGGCTGACGGAACCCGAAGTGTGGTCCCAGGGCCAACCTACAGCCAAGTCCAGTTTCCCCATGCCTGTCCCATCCTGCATCAGGGAACAAGAACAGGGCAGAATTAGAATTTGGGGAGGGGCTACTCGGGGGCCTGAACTACCCTCCAGGGACACAGGAATATGAGCTTCGGATCTTGAGCCTGAACATTACAGGTAGCACTCAGGATTGAAAACTGATTTACAGTCACAAAGCAGGCGGGAGGGAGGGGGAAGGGGGGGCTCTGTGTACAGTGCAGCCTTGTGGGGCGGTGGTAATTACACATCACATTGAACTGTCCTTGCAGCACACTGAAGGGCAGTGGGAATGGGACTCTAAATCACACTTCCCTGATGCTCACCATAGCTCACTCCTGTGATGTGGCCCCAGAGGCCAGGGCTGACACTTCTGGACGGACGGACACACACACACACACACACACACACACACACACACACACACACCCTGTTGGGAACCAGCTTCACTGTTATTAATTCTGGCAGCTTTCAGGAGCTGCACATCCTACAAGCCTCACTGTTTATCCCCCGACCACCCGATCTCAGCACTTCTCACTCTCCACTTCCTGTCTTCCACTGGGCTCGGAAGGACTGGGCATCATTTGCTGGAGATGCCCTGTCCTCCGTTTCTCACTCTTGCAGCATCTCTGCATACAGTGTTGCCTCTTGGTTCATTAGGGACCACATACCTCTTCACTTCATTGCAGAACAGGGGATCCTCGGAACCAAACCCAGGACTTCCCATCTCACCCCCCACCCCCATATCTCTATACACACCTCTGACTCCTTTTTCTTTTTTTTGAGATAAGATCTCAACTGTGTAGCCTTAGCTAACCTGGACACTCCCTCCCCCATGTAGACCAGGCTAGTCTCAAGCTAACAGAGATCTACCTGCCTCTGCTGGGATAAAAGGCCTGCTGCTACTATACCCTCTGGCTATCTGACTCTAACTTTAATTTAATTGCCTGAAAATTCCAAGAATGGAATGTAGCCCAGGCTAGCCTCAAGTACACTGTGTAGCTGAGGATGACTTTGAACTTTTGATCCTCTTGTCCCCCGCTTCCCAGACACTGAGACTGTAGACCTGTGCTATCTCCCTTGGTGTCAAACTGGTTCACGAGGGCTTAGGAGGCAAATGAAACCCCGTTTTCTCTCACAGCTCTCCCCAAGCTCCTTTAGGCAGGTAACTGATTGCTAGCTTATTTCCTGTCCTCAACTAGCAACCCAGGAGGTACAACTTTTTTTCCTCAAAGGGCCCTTTCCATGTCCAGATAGACCCTGCTTCTCAGAACCAGTCACATATACTTTCCATCATCTCCGAGTCCCTCCCTCCTGGCCCCTGCACTTCCTGGTTCGGGTGCACAGCAGGATGTAGCCATCAGACAGAGCTGGATTTGAATTCTGGCCCCTGACCGCACAAGTTATTAGGATAACGTACAGACTGACAGTCTGCACCGTCAGATGTCAGACACTGCGCTGCTGTTCTCTAGTTTGGTTGGGACAAATGACTTGCCCTCTGTTTCTAAAAGGAGGGCAGTGGCAGTACCTCCTGATTGCTGTAGTGGAAACAGACACTGAGACAATACGACAGTTAGTGCTCGCGCTCTCCGCACTGTGAGCCTTACCTCTCCAGCCTCTGGTTCCTTACCCGGGACAAACCTCCATACTCGGGTTCCTAACTTTCAAAGCTTTGCTTTGTTTTCACTTTTCTTGGGCTGTGCCCAACAGGACCCTTACGCCTCCCAGTCAGGCTTGGCCCCAAGGCTTTGCAGTGGGGATCTACACTTCAGTCCTGCCATTTCTTTTAAAATATTTTAATTACATGATTGATTGATTGATTGATTGATTGAGCCTGTGTGCAGGTGTGTGTGTGTGGGTTCACTTGGCAGTCAGTTCTCCCCTCCACTATGTGGATCTTGGGGATTGAACTCAGGTCATCAGGCTTGGTAAGAGCGCTTGACCTATCTGGCTGGCTCCTCCTATTATTCACCCAGTATTTGTTTCTCCAATTCTCAGAGTTTGGGCAAGAGGGTTATTTCCTTGGCCAATGAATGCAATGGCCAACTTTCTTCCTTCTTCACCAAATACATTTGGAGTCCTGGAGGCCTTGGGGTTTGCTTCCATTCCAGAGCAAAGGCCACGTAGACATACCCACCTTTGGTAGAGAGAAGATTTCAAAGGAATGCACACCTGGACCTGATGGTGCACACCCACAATGTCAACAAAAGCGAGAGGGTTACTATGTCAGCTAAAGGCCGTCCAGGGCTCCGCAGCAAGACCTTAAAACATCAAAACAAGCTGCGCAGTTATGGTGCACATCCTTCCAGCA